ACCCAGTTCTCAAAGCAATTTTAGCTAGCAAATCAGGATAGTATGGTTGACTAGCTTTTTAACTATAAAAGTAACTAGAGTAAAAGAGTTCCTAATTGAAGATAATATTTTTAAGGATTGGTAATATATTTAGAGTATTTTTTAATTCCAAGGGAATTGTAAATAAAAAATGTTTAAACAATTGTAAAATAACTAAGGAAGTATAGGAGCTGCGTATACTTAATATCACTTTAATTTGACTTGGTTAAAAAGACAACTGATGAGAAATATGCTTCCAGAAGCCATCTTAAACTGATGAAATCATTTATATATATAATTCATTTAATAATTTCTCTCTAATCCTTTAATTTTCTATCTAGATTTAGTCAATAGAATCTCCTTTCCTATAGGTATTCAGCATTCCTAATGGCCGGATCCTGCAGCTTGCATCACCTCATCCAAGGAGCCAAGTTGGCGAAAAACAAAATGCAAATTCTGCGAGACGGCATTGCGTGATTGACATTTGAACTGCTAATGAAGCCATCAGTCGTCGTCGGGGTGAAAATGGGTACCAAACCAGGGGAATCCCCCTCTTCCCTCCTTCCTGCTGTCGCAGTAGCTGTGCGCTGTCATCAAGTGGCAGTAAGAGCTGAAGGAGGAACAGAAGCAGCAGAAGCAGCATCAGTAGAGGATGTATCACATGTGAAGGAGGTCCTTGCCAATGCCAGTACAGTCTTTTGTGGATGTGAACCAAGCTGAGCTTCTGCTTCGCTGTGCGCTTAGATATGCAACGTAGAGGTGGTGCTCCTCGTTGCAATCCTCGGGAAATCTGGAAATCTGGAAATCTGTCTGCACAGTGCACTTTAACATTTTGTTTTGACAACTGCGAATTCATCAGTGCTACGTTCCGCACCGTACCGTTCCGCTTTCCATTTTCCGTTCTCCTCTGATGGCCGTTGCAGATTGGGTTTTTCCGAAACAGCACTATATACCAGCCTCACCCCCTCCCATCCTGTCAGCTAGAAAGACAATCAAACGAATGCAAATTGAAGTAGAAGCGATTAAGCTGAAAATGGATTTGTGTACTTTATGCCATTGCCAAAAGGTTCTTGAGCTTCTTTTGCTGCTTTGGGGTTTTTCTTTCTCCGCTTGCTTTTTGGGGGTGAAAAACAGCTTGACTCGGCAAAGTTTTTGTAGGCCGTCGTCGCCACTAAAGTTTGCCACGCCCACTTGAGTGGAAATTCTCAAGGGGGAGGCAAGCGGTAAGCGGTGATTTCAGAATGAGAGTTTTGTGCATTATGCAGCCTTATTGTGAATTTCTGCTGATGCGGCATCACAGAGAGAGAGAGAGAGAGAGAGAGAGAGGGAGAGAGAAAGAGGGAGAGGGAGAGGGAGTGAGTGAGGCAGGCAACATCGTCAACTGCGATTGCAACTCGGTTTTATAAGACGGCAATAGAGTGTGGTAGGGAAATATAAGGAGCCGTAGAAAGGGAGACAAGATGCATGCACTCGAAAAAAAGCCTTAAGAATTAGATAAAAATCATGGGGAAGGAATTGATAATTTGTAATTAATTTATATTTCCAGGAAGTAAAAATGAATAAAATAAGCAGGGGAGCCATCAGTTTCTTTGCCCAACCTCTGTCGTTTAATAATAATATACTTAATATTATTATAAGTAGTATTAAAAGATAGCAATTAATAAAATATAAAGAAAGGATATTTCAACATATAAAAAGCATTATAATCTATAATAAAACCTATATTAAATTCTAGGAGAAAAATTAATTAATAAGTCATAGTTATAGGTATATTTATAATGTGTTAAAATAAGTACATATGTTATATACAATTTAATGTGATTGAAACTACAAATAAAAGTGTAAGCTTGCTGCACTACGATACTAAAGTAATACAATTAAATTAAATACTTAAAAAAAAAACTACTATTTAACTCCAAAAGGAACTAAATCTAAAAGAGTCTCTACTCTTGATTTCTTTGTGTATTTCGAAAGCATTTCAAAAATGCAAGCGAAAGCCGCAAGACTTTTTAAAGAATAAGAAAGCCAGAAAAGAGCGAAATGCTTTACCGCTATGAAACCTAACTTTCCTTAAATTGAACTCCATAAACAATTAGATATAATACATAAAAATGATATATTAATTTGATTTTATGGCAAAGAAATATATATAAATATTTAAAAGTAATTCACAGTGTAAAAAGTAGCGATAGAGTGAGACGCAGACAAATTGCAAATGCCGCACAAAATGCAAACGCAAATTCTTTGGAAAATACTTTCGGATGGACGGAAAGCGTTTTCCCACAAAAGCCAAAGATAACGAGAAAATTTCATGCGTTGATAGTTGAACAGAGTTTAATGGAAATCAACGAGCCAACTCAAATACGAGTATCGTCAACTTATGGATGAGGTTTTCGCGGTAAAGTCAGGTTTTACCATAAGTTTGTTGAATATTTTCTTCGAAAGATTTAGCTAAAAATATACTACTTTATAATATATACATTTTGAGACTATTTTTTACTTTCAAAAAATTTAAGCTTCTATACTTTAACAACACTGGCAAATGATTTCAGTTAATAATAGAGTGTTGTTAAGCGCTGTTAAAGACAGGGTTGTCCTTGTGTGACCGTTGGCCAGAGTTTTACAACACCGGAAATGGTAAAAATAAATCCATAAATTGAACAATTTAGACATTATTTTTATTCGGAAAAGAATATACGTAATATAAATGTAATAAGATTTAATAATATCAAAGCGAAATGACAGAAAATTGTAAATTAGCTTTCCGCTATTTAAGCTATTAGTTACCTTTCTTGTTGTACTATTATAACTACAGAAACAATACTAATAAATTAAGTTAACTATTTTCTTAATAAGCAAGTAGCTTAAATTGTAATTTTTCTTTCTTTGATTTATGATATGCTTCTTCCAAGTCCTAGTCCTTAGTTCCATGTGTCATTCAGATAATTACACTGCCACTTGATCGACGTTCATTTGTGCTTTGCTGGCCAATTTGTTACGCGTTTGCTGCAACAATGACGTGGTGCAAGGATGGATGCTCGTGATGATGCTCAAGACCCCCAGAAAAAAAGGAAAAACACACACTCACACCCCGGACAGATGCTGTGCATTAAGCATAATTCCGCTTACGTCACTTGACTGATTAACCATCTGGAACAGATGGCAGGGGCGGGGCAGAGGGTACATCATCATACGGAATGTGGAAAAATCGGTAAGGAAAACGTTCAGCACTCAAATAGCAAATATTTATGACAGGGAAAATTCAATGCACGAAACATGAAAATGCACTTAAACAGCAATCAATTGCACTTTACACGAGATGCACCTCCGAAGGACACTTGACCCCTCACTGCCGCTCCCATCCCCTTGCTGTTCAATAAACTATGCGGCAAACAAATAAAAATAAAAATAAATAAAATAAATAAGGAGTCCGATAGAGGAGGATGCACAAAATAAAAAAATTATATGCACAACACATGCAAAAATATTTATTTCACTGCAACGTAAGAGCGCCCCCAATGCCCCCATTTTTATGCCACGCCCCACAGCTCAAAGCAATCCCGGCGATATTTTATTGTTCGTGATGGTAAAACTGCAAAAACAGGCAAGCTAATCTGGTTACAAAACCGAGATCTTTAATACCCTTTCTTCCTACATTGATTTTAGAAATTCTTACAACAAAAATAATGGATAATCTAGGATCTAAGTCAGTAAAGAGATATAACAAAAGTAGTTAGATATAAAAATTAAGAATGGAATCCTTATGCCAGCTTGGCATAATTTATTCTTATTTAATTTAGAGCAATAATGATACCTGTTGTTTCTTTTTCTAATATTATTTATTTACATTGTCTCAGTTTTCCGGAAAACATTTTAAAAACCCTCCTTGTAAGTGTATATAAATGTGGAAAAAGGAGACGACAACAAGGCAATGCGGAAACTTTTACTTTAAGAAGTTCAACTAGTGAAAACTTTTCCCTCCTCCACGAAAAAAATAAAGGGAACTTTCTTATTTTTTTTTTTTTCTGTTGTTGTATTTTGCAATTTTCCCCCAGTTGCTGGGATAAGAGGGAAGACTGTATGTCAAATTTTTTCATGTTTATTTTGAAATCATGCGAAAACAGCAAAATCAAATTATGCAAAAAAAATTCTAAAGAGAAAAAAAGAAACAGAGTGAAACTACTTTACAATTGCAATAGAATAACTTTGTGTGTCCACTTCAATGGGCAGTAATTGATGTGCAATTACGAGTGATGTAACCCAAAACAAAATACCATAATTGCCATCATATTGTTACTTATTCCAGTCTTTAATTAGTGTCCCAAAGGACTAAGGTGCCCTGTTACATATATAGAGATGATAAAACTGCTGAGCCAATCAATATACAGTCTGTGCGCGGCATATTATTGATGTGAAATCGAACTGGTAGGCATTATAACCTGCTCAGCCTTCGCCCCCAATCTGCATCTTTACTCAAATGGAAATGGGGCTTAAGGAGGAGCAAGGAGTGACCCGCAAAAGGATTCCGGTTGGGATGAAACGGGAGGAAAGCACTGGACTCCCCTCAAACTTTGAGCACAGTGCATCATCAGCAGTTTATAAAATTGTTGCAGAGCTGCAACACGAAGATGCCCCGGGCAATGATGCTTCAAGTTGCCCACGCAGCTGCTGCAAGGACCTGGCACAGTGGAAGAGATCTGAGGAAAAAGTGGATATAATTTAAAGAAAAAAATAATATATAGGAAAAGGAAACTAACTTTGTAAAGTCAAAGCTTACAGTTTGCAATTCAACTACAAGATCGTATCGGAAATCCATCATAGCTAGGCATAAACTATTCGCATTCTTTGAATCTATATTTCAAATATATTTAAAAAATCAAAATTAAAACATAACTAATCATATTAAAAATAATTCACTTTAGGAATTAGATTCGAAATTGTAGTATCAATTTATTAGGGAAATTATTTTATATACTTATAAAATAATTAATTTTATAATTTTGCATTCCAAATTGTATCCAGGCTCCGATCGGATCAGTGTTGAGATGCCACAAGAGACTTATCTACCTGGTAAAAAAGGATAATAAAAAACACATTTAATCCTTGATCTACTAAGAAGTAATGCCAGCTATAACACTTACTTTCCCTTGGGTAGCACCAACACTACGTTACCAGCGGTACTCATTAGAGCAATGCTTATCCAGTGCAACATGATCTCAATGGACATTATAAAGATGATGCAATAACAGATCAGGGCCTTGATCAAGGGCGTTGAATCGTTGCTTTCGTTCATATGTCTAATGGCAAAGATATACATCGAGATTTGATTGAAGAACTTGATGCAGCACAATGATATCCAGGGAACCGTCGGCATCACATTTATGATACGGAATCTGGTTAACCCGTTTGGTAGCGTTATAATCGTGGGCAACATGGCCAAGAAGGTGAATATCAGGGCTATGACTGCCGATATCCATATTTCCGGATAGGTAAATATCACCAATTGCTTGTCCATTCGTAGGTGTATCGAAATATCGGGTGCAACAGTTATTGCCGTCAATAATCCAGCTCCATAAAACAGCTGGAAGATCACATGGGGACGACAATCGATGCGATATCCATTCATTATGTATTAAATTATTCAAAAATTAGAACTCAACAAAATAATTGTTACTCTTGTTAGGGTTTGTACTTCTAAGCGAGCAGTTTTTGTTTGACAGTATTAACATGGATTGTTTCGTTTCGATGATAGTTTTGATTTGTAGTTCGTTTGTGTTCTTGTTTTTTGAGTTCTTAATAAATGTATTTATATTCTTATTTAATTCCTTTTCTTTTAGCCTTAACTTTAATCCAATAAATTCCCTTCTTTAATTTCTTATTTGCTCACATTAAGCCACTCATTTTTGGCACACATCCCACTGTGCCTCTTAAAACAATAAAAACACACACAACTTGGCCGAAAGGGAATCGAATGTCTGGGCTTTGAGTTTTCCAAGGATACCGGCAGGACATGGGGGAGAAGATGAAGATCATCGGTGGCCACATTGCGGCCAACAGGATTTAATAGGACTCTGTCTCTTTTTATCACTTGCAAAGCCTGAAATTTACTGTCCTCAAAGACCAATTTTGAGACATTTTATCAAAGTAAAAATAAGAATGAAATATGACTAAGTTGGGTTAGTTTTTACCCAGAGATTTAAAGTAATATTTGGAAGATAATTAAGACTTAAACACACAAAGAAAAACTTATCAGTGTTACACGTGTTGACTCTGCCGGCTTTGGGGATTCGCTGAAATAAGAAATTTGCGGTTGCCACCTAGGATTAGAGGCCTCTTTCCTTCCTCCCCCTCACTAATTCCAGCCAGGCTGCACTCAATCATCCAGCATCCTGACACAGGCTGATCCGCTTTTAAAGTCGGGTTAGCCTTCGCAGCTGAGCCTGTGCAAGAATGCCTTACAAATGCTAATTCATAATCTTAATGACAATGAGACGCGGCCCCCAGTTCAGTTCAGTTCAGTCAGCAGGTGGCTTGTGGAAATGGTGGAAATGGTGCCAGCAATTCTAAAATAATTTGCATATTCCGACGACTGAAAACGCGACGACTCACCCAAAAGAGGTTGGCTTTGTGGGCGTGAATTGGGTTTTCGGTCTAGGCCTGGGTTTTGGGGTTTGGGTTTTGGGGTTTGAGGTTGCCTGATTGTCATAACTCTGACGACATTTATCTCAATTTCACGCACGCTAAATACTTGGCACACACTCGGACACTGAAAACAAAGTCTGTAGATTTTGTTTAGATTATTTTAAACATATCTTGCTCTAAGACAAAACTAAGAATAAAAGATGTCAAGCGCGAAGCAAGCTTCTATATAAGTGAAACCAGAGACATGCTTCTTTAATTATTTCTTTATATTTATATAAATTTCTTAATTATTTTTCTCCTTAATAAATCTGCACACTATATTTTTAACAGTGCTTAGAGAGCCTGCACACACAAAGACTCAAGCTACTTGGCATAATAATAACCGGGACAATATCCTTGCCGCCATTTCGTCCTTGCCAGCTTTGCCAGCTTGTCACGCTGTCGTCATCGCTGCCAACATCGTTCGCCGCCTGCTTCTGTTTAAATAATAAACTAAGAAAGCTTAGCGCTCAAATGCAAAGTTAAATATGCAAAATACACACACGCACCGCGTTCTCTCTGTCTCTGTCGAAATGAGCCCAGGATTCCAACGTCCCAGCATCCCGGCATCTCGGCAAGGAAACGAGGCGAAAGCAGGATCATAAGCCGCTCAGCAGCTCGTTGAATGTATTTAAACATAAATTTCAATTATGCACCAAATAAAAGGGACAGAGACAGATATACATAGAGAGAGAGAGAGGGAGAGTCTTGGTTTAAGCCGCTGCCATTAAAGCCGGCAAGTTACTGACTATGGCTTAAAAGATATTCCATCTTGTTTCATATTTTTCCACCAGCCACCTTCAGTATGTCGTGATTTTTTCATGACAAAATCTTTGGGCACTATGGGAACAATCTCAAAAATGAGAGACATACAGTACAAAAATCAAAGACAAAGCTTAAGATGCATAACGCCTTAGGAATAGCCATATTTGCAATCAAAGTTGTTGAGTTAAGAATTAAAATGTATGAGAGCTAAGCATCTTATCCTATTCATATATTGATTGATCATGTTAATGATTGAAATGTACTTTTACTAAAAGATTATAATTATTTAAATAATGAACACTTCCTGCGACTTCATGACTTGGACTTTGCAAAGGCTTAAATTTCTTTTCAACCTCCTCTAAAGCTCAAATTCTTTCCGAATCCTTTCCCTCTTGTTTGATTTTATTTCATTTAATTTTCCCCAAACTCTAACCTCTTTGCCCCCTTGTAAAATCAAGGTCTTGAAAGACAAGCTGAAAGTAGCCCCAGCAGTTAGCAATTTGTGTTGATTTTTTCTACGTGGGCTGAACTGAACCCAAACTCGAATAAAATCCCATACGCGTGGAACACGTGTCGTATGAGCGATAAGGAAAATGGGAAATGGGAAAAGTGGGGAAAATGAAGAGTATAAAATTCAAGTGGATAGAGAGTGAGAGAGAGGGACACGCAAAGGCAATCAATTAGCATTAGAAAGGAGTGCACAAAGTCAGTGGTGAAATTAATTGAAATAAACAATTTCTTAAAGAACAACTAGAATTTAAGGTGCCATGCTAATGATGATATAAATATTAAAGAAATTAAAGGAAAACAACAAACAATTAAAGGAAAATTGAAATAAAAAACAAAGGTTTCAAGTCTTAATTCTACTTAAAAACCAATGTAGATTAAATTAGTTTATAATGAATATAATTTATCAGGAACCAAGTACTAATTAATAACATCGATTTTACTTGGAAATCAGTCTTTATTACGCAGTTAAAAATAAATATAATTTCCACGAATGTCCTCAGTAAAAGAACTCGTGGTTATTTGTGGAAAATTTCTGCGGAAACTTAATGCAAACTGCATTTTCATTGCAACTCTAATCGGATTACGTTCTTTGCAAAAATTCCAAGAACCTGTAAAAATGTCCAAGTCCTTTCTTGAAATTCTTTTTACTATCTAATTATCATTTATTCCCAGAAAATCACAATTTGTTTTTAGAGCAAAGCTTCAAAGCCACATTGACAGCAGGGCTTTTAATGACCAAAGTAGTACACCGAAGAAATTAATTAAATAATACACCAAGAAAATATAATAAAAGTATATAAAAATAAATAGAAAATTCATCAATTATATAAATTCCTACAATATTATAATATGTTTTTTAATATCAATTTATTTTATATTTCCACTAATAAGTTTTTAATGCAACTCTTACACATTTATTGAGGGAGTTAAATATCCCAACTAAAGCCCTGCAAATCTCCACTTTAAACCTCTGGAGCCTAGCGCCAGCGCAGTGGACATTTCCAACTATTTATATATACATATATATTTAAATAAATATAGTTTCGGGGGCGGGTTCAAAATCAAATTACATGTTTAACAAACAAACCACTTGCATGCCATTGAGCACACACACATTTGCAATTGCAATTGCAAATGCAACCAACGCGTTATGTTACGACTAATTATTCAACATTAATTCTAATTTGATTTGTTTATTTTGTATAAGAAAATTGTGTCTGTGTGTATGCGAGTGTATTTTGCATTCCATGTGCGTTGGTGTGGAGGAGGAAACCCCATTCCCGACCAGTACTACTTATTTTCCCCTGGGAAATAGATGCTACGATTGAGGATGATAACTCCCCTGGTTTTCCACAGGCATCCTTTCTATTCCTATCCTTCCCCTTCGTCCTGGAACAAGTGTTGTGCGTGCTAGTGCATGGCAACCCCAAAAGCTAAAATCTCTGAACGCTTCTCAGAGTGTGAGGGGGGAAATTCAATTGAATTTTGTTTGAATGTAATTAAATAACACTTGCCGGCTGGTCAGTCAGTCATTCGGCCAGTCAGTGAGTCAGTTGGATGCTGGGACACTTGGTCGTCCATTGTTTAATGCTCGACCATGTGCGCATACATTAAGGCTGATTTGCCAGCATACCCGTAGCACCGATCTGAGCCGATAATAAATGCCAGAGAGCTAAATGCAATCGTGCTTAGAATATACAACATATGTGCACTTGGAGAAAGGGGAAATTTGAAAATATTAATCATTTACTTTGGGTTTAAAAAGATGATTATAAATACAAATCAATGGTAACCAAATCTCTGACTTTTAAGCTAGTTCTACAACAAATCTTAAGTATTTTACATCATTTCTAATAACAGTGTTATATTTATCACTCAAAACATATTCTATATATTCTATACTCTCTATAATATATATAAATTAACCTACCTTTGCACTTAGTTTAAGTAAGACTTTACTTACAACTAATCACAATAAGATGTACTTGCACTACTCTACATAACTTAGATTCATAATCAACAAACTAACATTTTCTCTTACCAAATCTGTTAACTATATTATATATATATAAACTCATATAAATTGTTAGAACTGTGTGTCAGCACATACTAAACCAGTAAATATTAATCTATTTTAGTAGGTCACACTTTGTTTGCATCCATAATATTTTTGTTAAGTGCTGGCTCTACACTAGGCCAGGCCGTAATTATTGGGCTTTGATTAAATCTTTTCCCAGTGTTTGTGGATGTGTTCGAGTGTACATTGTATGAGTGTGGGCGTGGCAAATATATACACACACACCCACACACATACGCATTCATTCGTCGAGTTGATTATGCCAAGGAAGTTTGATGTTGTCAAACAAAAGTGTACAACAAAACACAAGTGGCCAGATGTAAGCAAACCGGCTTTAGCCTCATGACCGACTGATGACACGGTGTGAAGAGTTGATTTCTACAAAGAGATGACACTAAATAACGATATGTAACTAAGTATATCGAATTGATAACGATATAGGGGCTAAAGGTGCTTAACTTCAAGTAATTTGGTATAAAAGTTGCGTATACGTAATATTACGTATACGTTGATTTTTCTATGAGCAACATCGAAAGCTAATAGGTTTTTGGAAAACCTAAATGAAAATTGGTATTTATTAATAATAAAATACTAATTTTAATAATAGAACAAAAACCTTATTGAAATTGAGTACAAAGTTAACTATAAAGAAATTGCGTATACGTTATATCAAGCACAAATCGCATTT